CTAAAAAATATTTAACCAATTGTATTAATCGTTACGTTATCGTGCCTTTAGTCCGCGACCTATACAATACGTGTCCTTATTTATCCTATTGTAATATTGTTTATCCTATTATAAACGAAGTCATATATCGCGGATACTTGCGCACGGTGTAAACGTAGCCAGTTAAAGATGGCAATTACCTAGTGTCCCAGATCATGAGCTTTTGATCATCAGCGACCGAACCAAATAATGATTCATGTAACAGATGCCAAGCAACGTCTTCAACTACAGCTGTGTGCCCTGTAAAGATAGTTTTTGCATCGATAACACGATTTTCCTTCGGTGTGGCATTGATGTCCCACAAACAAATCGTGTGGTCGTCAGACGCGCTAAGTAAATATCCATTGAGATTCGGGTTCCATGAAAGTCCATAGCCTTCCTTTTGATGTCCTCGCAATCTGGAATTGTAATATTTAAATATACAATAAACATAATATTAGTATAAATATGGTATACTTCGTGTGTTCATGATCTATTTGCTTAATAAATTATTAAGTACCTCAAATCCGGATGACATTCTCCATTGGGATCTGGTTTACTGGGATGTTTAGTATAATCAAATACAAGCACGTCGCTCGAGGGAGTTTTTGTTGCGATTACACACGGATTTTGCGGCATAAATCGCGCTCTATTAACTTCACCCTCATGATTAATCTTAATCTCGATCTCGATTTTGCCACTCACAGAACCAAACCCACCAAATTCACCCTTTTCATTATCATAATGAGAAGCATCAAATTGGGCATCTTCATTCGGCAGCTGGACGCTGGCAATGAGCAAATGATTTTGTTCGTCTGAAGTATGAGTGCCTAAAATTAACCTGTGGATTGAATAATCTTTTCCTTCAGGTCTGGTGACATCAGGCAGCCATTGAGCCGTTAAAGAAGGCCATTCCAAAGCATGTGTCATCACAAGATCGTATAAAAATGGTGTATTCTTCTTCCATATTTTATATTCCTCATTGATAATACGTTCCTCCACAGCGTCGTCAAAGCCCTCTGAACAAACAGCGGCGCTTAAATCTCCTTTTACATAAAATTTCTATATCTTAGAAAATACTTTGATAAAATATAAAATAATACAAATTATATAATACATAATTACTGAACATAAATTATTTAATGTATATAAACAATTGGCGAGGCATAATAGACAAAAAAATTATTAGATGAATTATAAATGCAATATTAGTAAAAATAATGAGTTTCTCATTTTCATAAATAAAAGATAACTGATCTTATCGATTGGTTGCACAGTTTTTAAAGTACACGATTTTAAATAGATTATAAGAGAGAACCTATATTTATATATTGTATATTGTTCCCATTATATAGGGTGTTTTATAATAATTACCTTGTGAAGATTCAAGTCCATTGTATTTAATTCTTTTGATAATATTTGGTACATTTGGTTGTATAGAATTAATCCTTACTATCTTAGATGGTGTATTTTTCTTATTCGGTTTGTCACTTTTTTTGATGTTTTTCTCCAATTCAGCTTCTTGAATCATACTCAACATACCTTTACTCGGTTGCGATTCACCCATCACAGCAGATGGTGTAGGTTCAAGTATATAATTTGATTTATCCATCATAAAAGATGGTTTATTGGTAAGATCTTTTACATCAGGCTGTTCCAAATTTTGATCTTGGTTACTTGGAAATTTACACTTAGCTAAACGACTGCTTCGTCTTTCCATTTTTAAAGATCAGTGAGAACTAACTATCAGAGGCAATAATAACGTTTCTTACAATAAATAAGTAATGTCATATAAACAAACTTTAAGGTTGCTCATATAAACAATATCTAATTGCACGGGGCAGGCAAATGTTTTAAAGAAATACACTCAAGTCTCGACAAAGACATTGCTCTCGTGTTTAAAACCGTGTTTGATGAGGGACTGTGCAACCAATCAAAGAAAATATATTCCGCAAATTTTTTAACAAGAATCATACTCTCTCGCCAATTGTACCATAATTTATTACTGTTGTATACCCTCCGATGTGTTAAATCTTATGTTATTACTAATCGTATTTATTTTAAAATTAAAATGATATATTTATTTATTTATACAAATATTAAAGATGCAGTATTTTAATTAAGAGTATATAT